TTGGTGGGCTGGCAAGCCTAGCCCCTGAGGTATCTCAGTTTTGGAGTCTTGCCTTCTGGCAGCTCTCCTGGTTCAGCCAGCTCCGACGATCTTCTGCAGCTCTTCAGGTTGCAGCTCTTCAGGGTCGAGGTTCTTGTCTCATGCCCGGGAAGAATGAGGGACACGGATGGCCAGAAAGTGAGAAAGCAGGATTTATTGAGAGGACAGAGAAGCTCCCACAGTGGGAGGAACCTGAAGGGGTTGCCCGTATGGGACCGAAAACCTGGTGCTTATATAACCCCAAGTCCAAGTCCAAGCTGGCTAGCACCAGCTGTGAGTTGTAGCTGTTCTGATTGGTCAGTATTAAGGTAGGGAACTAATGGTGAGCTGATTGGTTGCTTTTTGATCTCAGCAGTAAGTACTTAAGCTCTAGCTTAAGATGCTCACAGAGAGCTTATTTACCAACAGCTGCTGGGAATTCGCTACATTATTACCAGAGGACCTGCCTGTCTGCCTCCCCTTTCTCTAGCTATCTCCTGTCTCACTTGCTTGTTTCCTGATCAGCTGGTAAGAGCCACGTGTTCACTGCCACACTGATGGATCCACTCCTTCCACACACAATTGAGATCTTCATTTTTAGCTTTATGCAGTGTTTCTTTGTTTCTCATTAACTTCTGTTTACCACTTTCTGCCCAGAACTCAGTAGTTCATCCTTCTGTTTCTTCAGGTCATGTGTGGTGGCCTTTCCAACATCACACTCTTCTGTAAGATGCTTCATACCAACACCACTGTCCGGTTTCTCCAGCAACTTGAATTTCTGTGCTATAGATAAGCGTAAATACTTCCTCTTTTTCTTATCATTGTTACCCAGGCAGACCTTTTAGACTTTTTCAACAATATCTTCACACCACAGCACAGAGAATCAACAAAACTCTGAGTAATTCACGTAGGTCTTGTCTACATGTGGAGCATCGTGGGGAACCTGCCATCGGCACATCCCACCTGCGCACATGCCATTTTATTACCCTCTGTGGGCGAGCTTGTGTGGGGGAATCCGGGCACGCACAAAAAAGACACATCACGGGTGAAGGAGGTTGGGAGAGTCTTTTTTCCCTTGGGGTCACTGAGTAAACTGCATCTTGTGCCTGCATTTTTAATACAAACCGTCACATAAGGTCGGGTGTGGAATTTTTCACTTATGGCATCATGTCAGTGTTCAAAATGTTTGATTTGGGAGCATTTGGATTTTGATTTTCAGGTTAGGGATATTCAACCTGTGTTTTGCTTACCTGACTATAGGTCTGTTCAGGCCTCCGTTTTATCTTTCTGCAATTTGAGCCCAGGAGTTGATGCCTCACATGCTATAAGCCTTTCCCACAAGAGAGAGAAAGAAAGTGCACTAGGATTAGGCTTCTCTGAGAAGATAGGTATTAAGGTCCACAGCAGTGGTTTTCAGTGACCAAAGAGACCTATAGACATCTGTTCTCTGTGTTGCTAGTTTTTGCTTCAATTCTTGTCCTCTGAACTGTGAACCACTGAAACTACCTAAAGACAGCAGGGGACACATTCGGCTTGCAAGTGTGGACATCACGTCCTGTGCCCTCCACTGAGGGATGGGAGCAGTGGGTAAACACCCATCAGAATTTACCCTTCCTCATCATTGCTGGCTGGTTATCATTCACATACCCAGACCCAGGCATGCAGCTTCATTTTCCATGGATGTTTTGTGTTGGCTGCTAGGAGAAACTTACAGATACCCTTTCTTAGTGCAGTTGTTTTTTTTTTAAAGAACTATGCTAACATGGTTGCTACTTAGCAGCTTTTTAATCTGATAAAAATGCCAGGTCAGTAGGCAGTGAAAATTCTCTAATCACACTTGTCTTCTCACCCCCAAATACTGTGTAAAGCTCTGAAACCAGCTTTGACTAACAGGGCTTGAGGACCAAACTTCAGCAGATGAAGAGCCAACCCCTGCAAACTGGTAGCAGCAAGCACTCTTTTCTGCCAAGACCTGTGAAAAGCTGGGCTCAGTCGTCAAAACCAGCATGAGGGCACAGGTGGTTTTTCATGTCTGAGAGAGAATGAACTTGGAAGTCTCGCATGCAGAGAGAGCTTCCACGCTTACACTGGAACATTGCTTACATGACTTACAGCACAGCCCAGCCCAGCCATCCAGGTTTGAGGGATCTTCCCTCTCTGGGGCGGGCCTGCATGCCTTCTATGCTGCTGCTCTGTCCCAGTGGACTGTGTGTAGCCAACCCTCATTGGCACCTTCTGGATTCCAAATCAAATCATAGTGCAGCGAGAGCTCAGGTACCGGGGGGAAGCTGTGGCCTGGCCCTCTCACCGGTTTACATCATGCTTCACCTGCTTCAGATTATGAATCATGTTGTGCCAAACCCTAGAACCACTGGATGTGGACAGCAGATAGATTTGTTCCCACTGACGAGGAGCAAAGAAGCAGCCAGTCCTCAGCTGTGCTTAAAGTAGTAGAGGTGACAGTAAATGTCGCCCTTTTCAAGCTGTTTAAAGTCGTTAAGAATGGCCAGGTTGTTTGTAGTCATGGCATCACGGTCAAGATAACAGATGGGAGGAAGGTAGAGCCACCCAGTTCCTGGCTGGTCTGGGTTACCTCCGCCAAAGAGAGCATCTCTTAACTGGAAGTCATCGGAATAGACGTCGTAAAAGGTTACTTCAACCCATCACGGACAGACTACCTCATCAGAGAGGGTTTCTCCTTTCTCATGACATGTGTCCAACCTGAATCCTCCAGCCGCCACCACCGGCCCCCCACGGCCTGACAGGGGCTCTAGAAAGGGCAGAAGTAGCACTCGGTCTGAAAATGCTCCAGAGGAAAGGGAAAGTGAATTCTGAGAACTGACTGGCAAATGGGTGTTTCGCGTCTGGCGGAAAGAGAAGCCTAAACAGATTATCAAGCAGATGACTGTGAACGTTCAAAAGATGGCTGTGGTCAGAGGACACCAAGCTAACCCTGTTGACACAGGATGTCACCAAGACACTTGCAACATCTGGTCGCCTTAAGAGATATGTTGGTGGCCGGGCTCGGTGGCTCAGTCTGTAATCCCAGCACTTTGGGAGGCCGAGGCAAGCGGATTGCCTGAGCCCGTGGGTTCGAGACCTGCCCGGGCAATTTGGTAAGACCTCGTCTCTATAATAAATCAAAAATTAGCTGGGCGTGGTAGCGCCTGAGGGCTTTTCGGAGGCCCCAGCGAACTGGCACGCTGGCGTGATGCAGCTCCCTACTAGAGAGTGTGCACGCTCCCACACGTCTGCGGCCATCGTCGAGGGTGAGAGCCGAGCTCCTCACTGCCCGTTGCCCTGACCAGACCTCACCCTCATCGCACTCAGTTCTGGGCTCATGTTTGAGATAGCAGCAGGAGGGACTAGGGGGGACGGGGCCGGGGCTAGGTCCTGACAGTGGAAATAAGCCAGGAGTGAGGCCCTTCCGATCGGAGTCTGCAGTGGTGGGGACCACCCCAAGATACAGCCGTGAGGAGCCCATGAGGGCAGTGCAGCCATGCACACTTCTGCTCTGGGGGCCCCCTGGGGGCCTCCTGGTGCAGGAGACATGGGAAAGGGCGGCGCCTCAGATCCAACAGGCAAAGGGGAACCGACAGGTCAGGCGCAGAGGGGGAAGCCTCCCAGGCAGAGGCGACCACACAGCACAGCTGGAGCCAGTGCCCAGGTGGTCCGGGCAAGGGGGAGTGAGTGTGGCTGAGAGGAACGAGAGGGAGGGAGGAAGAAGAGAGGCCACAACCCCTCAGCTGCACCTGGGAGCGGGGAGGGGGCTGCCTTCTGTTGCTTCAAGGGCGAAATCAGGACTGGGGACGTCTGCGGGTGGCAGCTAATGGGGCAGAGCTTCCCACGTGGATGGCAGCGCCGCCCGGGTGGCCTCCTGAGTTTCCACCCCTCTCGGCTCTGCGCCTCCTCCCTCACCTCCCCAGGGCCTCCATCAGTTGGCCCCGCCCCCGGCACCCACAGCCGCCCCCTGCAGGCACCCGCATGCCACCCCCCACTGGGGCCCCCTCCCAAGCCATGTCAGGCCTCTTCTCTTTTCACGGTGTAGCACCAAGTACACTGCTTTCTTTAAAAGAAAAATTGGAAACTGTGATGAAATCCTCAAGCAGCCCGCAAAAGCCTTAATGGACAAGCTACTGAAAGTCTCAACATTTATGAGAGTGTTGTCTTTACTATATGTTATTGCAAGTGCAGAGTGTTTTAACAAAAGGACAAACATTTGATTCCTGTAGCTAGTCTGGAGTCATCAATATTTTTATAGTACATCCTTTATTGGGAAAATCGGTTGTGAATAAGTTTTAGTGACACTGCCTATGCCAACACGGGAGGCTGCCTGTGTGGGGAAGTACAGGAAATCTCCGTGTTCATGGAATCGGGTTCGTGGCCTCCTCCCTGCCCCGCTGGCCCTCGCCCTTCCTTCCCTGGGTTGTGCTCCAGGCTTAGCCCCCCTTGCTGCCACAGAAACCCCAGACTGCCCATGGGCTTCAGCAAGTGCTGCCACTGTCAGATGGTCTGAGCCCTCAAAGGCAGTCAGTCCTCTGCTGTGTGAAGCAGTTCTCAGAATGAAGCTTCCAGAACGCACTTGTGCTCTTGGTGTGGGAGCGTGACTTTCTTTTTTCCTTGGGAATCACACTTACCCCTGAGGAGTGTGGCCCAGCAGTGAGCTCGGGACAGTTAGTGCTGACCTGCTCTCATGGCCTGGTCCCCGCAGGTCCTTGGAAGCCCTGCTTCCTTGTGTGTAGAATGAGGATTATATGAGATAAAGCATTTATATTGCCTACATATAGGAAGTGCTGAAAAATGTGTACCTATTATAATTTTTTAAACATCAGATTTCGCACTGACATGAAAATTAGTTGAGTTTTTTGGCTTGGTTCTAACAGATTTGACCTTTGCCACAGCACTCACTAAAGAACATTTGGGCCCAGCGGGTTAAGTGGCCGTGTTACTGACTCCTCAGTCTCTGCTTTGTCTGTTTGCAGGTTGCCCGGCTCATGGAGATGGGATTTTCCAGAGGTGATGCTTTGGAGGCCCTGAGGGCTTCCAATAATGACCTCAACGTGGCCACCAACTTTCTGCTGCAGCATTGATGGCCGAGACTGATGCCAGGTCCGGCCCAGCCACTGAGTGACAGTGGCATGGTCCCTGCCACCAAATCAGCCCCGAGGATCAGACACCACTGGCGCTGACATTCTCCTGGGGAGAGGGCAGTCCCCGCTGTGCCCCTGCCCTGAACTCCAAGATTGTTATCATTAGCGTATCAAAATAAGTTTGCCATTAAATTAGCATGTATTTTCTATCTTTATTTTTTTATTGGGCCTTTTCCCTAGTTAGAAGAATCATCCGTCACTCATTCCTGTTGTGTTTAAAATGCATTGACATTGCCCATGTCTGCAGACAGTTGGCGGGCACTGGGATGGGGAGTCTTCTTACTGTAATGCATTATCCTACTCACATCTGAACGGTGTCGTCATGGAGGGAGAGGCTACTGTTAGTTCAGAAAGGACATGTCATATCGTTCTATATTATGGACTCTCTTAATCGCTTTTTTTTTTCCCCTCAAACAGTGTCTGTTCAGTATCCAAACCTCCTCAGGGATGAGGGGGCACCAGGGAGCCAAATCCCACTCCACACTGTTCCAGTCCAGGAGACTTTTCCCAATTCCCTCCCCCTCGTCCATTTTAAAATGATAATCAAGTACTGACCTGGGGTTAATTTTGCTCAGAATATCCAGAGGTAGCCTCTCAGGCTGGGGCGAGATGGGACAGAAAGAAGGAACAGTGACCTTCCTGAGCCCTGCAGGCCCACGAAAGAGCTCAGTGGCTCCGGCTGCGGCTCAGTCTGGGAGGAGGAGACGCAGTTCCTTGTGACCCATCCTCGCTGCGGGCTGCCTGCTGGGCCCTCCCCACTCGCAGCCCCTCCAGCAGCAGGTTCCCCTGAGACCCGGGCCTGGATCCAAAGGTGGCAGGAGGCAGGGTGGACTGGAAGATGGGAGCCAGTGGGGAGGGGAGAGGCAGGGGGACCGCCCTGAGCTCAAAAGATCCAAGCAAGCCGGCTCTCCCGAGGGGCAGCCGCTCTGTTCTGTCCTGTTCTGCAAGACAGGCAGCAGTGTATCAAATTGATGCAAATCTAGACGTGTGATACTTACAATAAAGTTTTTAATGTTTTACTTTTCATTGTTTTGACTTATCTAAATAGAACTTTATTCCAGGATGTACATATGGCATTAAAAAGAAATTACCAAACCACTCATCTTTCTTCAAAGACTTCGTGCTTTTGGGGGTGAAGCATTTGTGTCAGGAGCTCCGCCCTCGGAATCCCCCAAGTTGTGGTGAGGACTCAGCTCCACCCACTTTTCCTCCTCTTGCCAAATCCCTGAGGTGCTGGGGAGATGGGTTTTCTATTAACCCTTTATAATGTGGTTTACTTCCCAGCCTGAATACAGCGTGACATCACGTAACAGAGAAGGAAAATCCACGTACTTTATGATCCTGTACAGCTGTCTCTGGGGGATTCCCGGACTCCAAGCCCCTTTTGGACACTCACCACCTCTTCTCTCTGAAGTCTGCCACCCATGGGACTCAACCTCCTCGTTATCTCTCAAGCCACTCATTTCCTAGAGTGATTTCAAAAGTCCTTAGGTAAGAACCGCACTCTTGCTACTAAGTGCCAGTCAGGAAATCTTTGAATCCACCTCTAACCTGCAAGTCCCTCCTTGGAGGTGTTCTGCCTTCCCAGGCCGAACCAAAGTAAATCTCACTTGTTTTGATTGATGGTTTTCTATAACTTTTAATTCGTATATAACCAAAGTGTAATTCAATCACTACAGACACACGTTCTCAGGACTTCCCGGGATGCATGTCACAGGCCTAAGGTCATTCACATTTGGCTCAGAATAAACCATCTTGAATGTCTTACAAAATTTGGCATCTTTTGTCAACAGTGGCATATGCAAAAACTTGGCACCTTGGCCTCACTAAGGCCCATCCTAGGCTGGTCAGAGCCATCGAGCTGCTTGGAATGGGGTTGAGGTGACTTTCTGGGAGCCCAGCTGGTCCCATACACAGGCCTCTACTTGAATCTAGGTTGTCCCATCTCAGGCCGTGTAAGGAACACTTAACGGTGATACAGATGTCCTGACCTCATTCACTGACCAAGGTCAAGATAACCTAAACATGAGTGAAAAATCATGTGCCTGACCTCTGAAGGAACTCGAAACTCAACCTCTGTGCTCCCATGCAGAGGGGCATAGGCAAAAAACAACCCATATTCAAAAACACACCCTCTTGGCCAGGTGTGATTGCTCACAGGTATAATCCTAGCACTTTGGGAGACTGAGGCAAGAGGATTACTTGAACCCAGGAGTTTGAGACCAGCCTGAACTCATCTCTACAAAAAAATTAATTAGCTGCGTATAGTGGCTTGTGCCAGTAGTCCCAGCTACTCAGGAGGCTGAGGCAGGAGGATCACCTGAACCTGGGAAGTTGAGGCTGTAGTGATGTGACCCTGCCACTGTGCTCCAGCCTGGACAGCAGAATGAGACCTCGACTCAAAAAACAAAAAATGCACCCTACTGTAGTCCTCACCTTCAAACAGCACCTAGCAAAGCAAAACCAAACCAGAGACAAGGTTCTGTTGGCTTTATTAATTAGAGGCCTATATTTCAAATGAGTACCGGGCAGCAGTTCTTTGTTTGCTGTCGGGATTCCTCCCTTCTGAATGTGATTACATGTCAGAGGTCTTTGCCCACGGGAACCTCAGTGATCTGCTTCAGTCCTGTAGAGAGTAGAGGACCTAGACCGTGGCAGGGGTGGGAGACAACTGCAGAGCTTTTTTTTCCTGTGTTCTTTCAGCCTCTTCCCAATTCCTTACAGCTGCCAAGGCCTCCCCTTCCCAGTGGGGGCCCATACACTTCCATCCTTGTCATGCGACTGCCAGGCCTTTGTCTCCCACCATCAGCACCACACAACACACACATACTCTTGCGCACGCAGCCTTTTCACTCTTGGCCATCGTCTTTGCCTCACTGGGGTTCCATCACAGGCCCACTCTTGCTTCCTGCAAATATTGACACCGACTTCCTCCACCAGTGGGATTCTGAATACCTGAGAATGCCCACACCTCTTCTCAAGACCCCGGAAATCTGACCCAGAGGAAGACATCAGCGAGCCGTTTGATGGTTTTTAAATTGAAATGGAAATGTCTAAAGCTGTACATTTAAGAGCTCTATCCAGGTAGCATGAAGCTAATTAATTTGCAAGAATCAGAAGAGTGTTGTTTCCTTCACAGTTCCCCTAACCATGGTGTTTTTATAAAGAGGTGGATCCAGAGTGCTAAAATGGGCTTTCTAGCTTAGACTAAAATTCCAGTTCTAAAACTGAAGTCCTTCATGTGGGAAAAATTGCTGGAAGCACATGGATTCACTGACCTGCTTATTACAGCCCTGGCCGATGTAGAAACAACCCCCACAGGTAAATGTTGATGATGCCACTAGAATTGGGGTGTCAGACCGAAGCAAGGGCTGGGGAGATTGGTCACCAGCTGCTGGAAACCAGCCTGAAAAGAGGCACCGAGTAGAGCCAGGTCGGGAGCCTGCCATGCTGACAATGGGGTCAATTGGTGACCAGGAATGTGGGCAGAAGAGGACTGATGGTGTAATCTCGAGGAATCCAAGATCTGGAGAGGAGGGGGAGGGCGAAATGCAGCAGGAGGGTCAAGAGAGGGCAGCCCCCCACTCGGAGGTGGGAACAGCAAGGGGGTAGGTGCTTCAGGGAGGGGCAAGGGCAGGGGGTGTCAACCCAGTGGTGGCAAGTTCCTGAGGATGAGCACTAGAACGTGAGGACCAGGGAAGTCACAGGGGTGGGCATCAGCTCAACCAGGATACTTGAGGGAAGGGAGCAGAGAGCCAGGGACTGAGACCCTGAGATCTGGGCCCAGAACAGGGTGTGCTTAAGAGCTGCAGGGGTGGGGTGGTTGACCTGGGATACCGGGAAGGACATGTCAGTCCTCGGGAGCTGGAGGAGGGCAAGGATGAAGGGACTAAGAGTGTGATTGAAGAAGTTTGTATCCTGGAGTTTGTGGCTTCTTAATAGAGAGGAGGGGTCCAAGGAGGGGCTGGGAGCTTGGGAAGAGTGGACAGAGGGTCTTCAAAGAGCACAAAGATCGCCACCAGCCAGAACAAGGGCTCTGACCCTTTTGTTTATTGACTGTAGTGTCGTCTGCTGGATCCTGCCGGTGGAGACTTCAAAGTTCCAAGACATTTAGGCAGAAATTAATCCCAAGAAATCAGCTGGAGTGTGCAGCCCTTCATGGCCAGCCCACAGCTTCCAGGAAAGCCAGTTTGTTCTGTGACCTCTCTGGAATGTTCTGTCCGAGCCCTGGGAGTTGGAGTAGACCTGGAGGGGGAGGGAAGAAAGAGGAGCCTAGGTCCCTGGGAGAAGGGTGCGGGAGAAGGTTCTGAGTAGAACTCTACCCTGGCCAGCGCCAGCACATCTGGTCACCTGGAGGCCACCTGGTCCTCACCAGAACACAGGGGTGCTGTGGGGACTGGGGACTGGCCCTAAGTGGCCCTGAATCCATGGCCTCCAGCTTCAAAACAGTCAAACGAAAGAAGCAGCCAAAGCACTGGGTGACCCACCCACAGGAATGCTGGGGAAAGCCTCCAAATCCTACCCCAGCCAAGCATAGGGGGATCTTTCTATCTCCATCTCCCTCGCCCAGACTTTGTCATTCTCATACAAGTGCTGGCTCTTCTTACATTTATTTGTTTATGTTTCATGAGTGAGGGTCTCACTCTGTCCTCCAGGCAGAATGCAGTGGCACAATCGGCTCACTGCGGGCTCGACCTCCTGGGCTCAGGCGATCCTTCTGCCTCAGCCTTCCATGTAGCTGGGACTACAGGCGTACACCACAATGCCAGGCTAATTTTTCAGGCTTTTTTTAAAATGTTGCTTTGGGGTTTTGGGGGGGGGGTTTGAGTTGGAGTCTCACTCTGTCACCCAGACTGGAATGCAGTGGCACGCTCCCAGTCACCGCAGCCTCGACCTGCTGGGCTCTGGCAATCCTGCCTCAGCCTTCCAAGTAGCTGGAACTACAGGCACGTGCTACCACACCTGGCTAATTTTTTTTTTGATTTATTGTAGAGATGAGGCCTCACCAAGTTGCCCAGGCAGGCGGGCTCAGGCAGTCCATTCACCTCAGCCTCCCAAGGCGCGAGATTACAGACTGACACCTACCCTGGCTTAATGTTGCTTTGGCTGGTATCAAACTACTGGACTCAAGTGATCCTTCTGCCCTCAGCCTTCCAAAGTGCTGGGATTGCAGTCATGAGCCACCCCATGCTTGGCCCCCACAACTTTGTGAAGTGAGTTGGTGGCAATGCAGTGTCTCCTCCTGAGATTAAATTGGCATAGACAAGTCATCTTTGAAGAAGTGGCCAGGTGGAACCTGGTCAGGAGACTGGATTTGACACCGGGTCTTTAACCAGGTGACATCCAGCCCACAGAGCCTGTGCTTGCAAACCCCTTATCAGTTGACCAAAGACAGACCCCAGGCTTGGGGTGCGGGGGAGACTTTGATGTCAGGGAAACCCAGGGTAGCGTCCCCTCACTTCTACAGAGTGGCCTTGCTGGCCAGGTTGCAAAGGGAGTTGTCAGGAGGCCCTGGGAAGGGCGAGGCTGAGAGGAGGTGGCAGTTGGCACCCAGCTTCATGCTCCTTGGGGGTCCAGCAAGGCCATTTCTTCTTCTGATCAGCCCTGCCCACCAGAAACTTCCAGATGGGAGAAGTTCCTGTCTTCTGCCAAAAGCAATCATGTCGGAGCCCACAGGATGGGTTTTTCTGTGGACAAGATTGTTACCTCATTTCTTCATGCGGGACCATGGCCAGTTTTGCTCTTTGCTATCTTGACGGATCTGTGTCCGGAGTTTTTATCGTCAGATTAGAGTATGAGGCCAAGCAGAAGTTCCGTACTGTACCTGAAAGTGATAAGCGGGGAACAAGGATGAGGATTTCCTAGAACCCACCTTGTCTCTACAATAAATCAAAAATTAGCCAGGTGTGGTAGTGCACGCCTATAGTTCCAGCAGGTCGAGGCTGTGGTGGCCAGGAGCGTGCCACTGCACTCCAGTCTGGGTGACAGAGTGAGACTCCAACTCAAAAAAAAAAAAAAAAAAAAAAAACCACTCCAAAATGATAAAAATAAATGTGAGGAGACAATTGTTTGGGGGCAGGGAACGGCAGTGGATTAGA